CACGCTGGGCTACCAAAACTACAAAATTGGGACAGCCCTGGGCCTGCACCATTTTCGGCCTTGCAGGCCGAGATGAGAAATCCTCCTGGGTGCTTCGATGGCTTTGCAGCTTGAGCAGTGCCTTGCCTAAAAGCGCAGCCAAGTCACTCGACTTGTCATCGCCCGACTTCCTGCTGCCGCACTAGCGTGCATCGACAACGACACGCCAGCGTGCTTCTCCAGCCCCATGGCATACACACAGGCGCTCGCACTTCTGTGTTGGGCAATCCAATTGGCATGGGAGCACCGCACATCCTCTAATCTAAACCTGGACGAGGCACAGGCATATACTCTGCGTAGCTTAAAGGTGGCGCTGCTAAGCGCATCCGCACAGCTTCGCCTGGGACACCGCCGCCTGAGCTCAGTGCAACTGTGCAGCCGTGACGACACAATTGAAAGCATGTGGGTGCAGGCAGATCGCATCTGGACTCATCAGGGGGTGGCGTCACGAGACCTCAGTCACGTGGGGGCCAGCGTCCCATTTTTGAACCAGCCTCCTTGGTAGAGGCCGGTCCACCCCAAGCATCGCTCTGCATGCATTGCCCACCGAGCTCAAAATGTTCATCTACGAACGTGAACAGCAGGCGCTTAGGGTTTCTTTTCCCTTGTGTTTAGGGCATGTTGTGAATCGAACTACGCGTTGGCCGTTTTGCTCCTAGCCTTGACCCAAACCTGCGGTTTCATTTGAAACGCAAACGCCGCCATGGACGCCTTGCTGTGCTTTGGATTGTGTCTCGCCGTTTACACAGCTCTCGTGTCCGGCCTTACTTGCATTGCCATTGGGTGTCTGTTGCGCCAGCACCGCAAGGCACTGCTGGGGTCTTTTGGTTTTCAGCCGCCGCTCCGCCCCGGGCCTGTGCACATTCTACCGAAGCGCAAGGTTTTTCATCATCGGCGCTGCCACCACTTGGCACAGCGCGATGCCTCAGCCTTCGCATTCCAACCGTGTGACAATTGTCTCAGCCTGTGGTGAAGCACATGCAACTGGCAGACGCCCTGCCCCCGTGACAGCCTTGCCTTCAACGCCACATGCTAATGTATAAAAATGCCGCGGCATTGCACTTGGATCTTGAGCCCACTACATTGCACCTTGCCTCAATGCACTTGACTGGCAACCTCGCCTGCAGCATTCGTGAGCCTTTTCAAGCATGTGTTGCACTGTACGGCTACGGCCTTAGCCATTGATTCATGAGTCCGCTCCAGAACCGCATCCCTCCGGGGTTGCTGCCATGACACTAATGTTCAGGTATATTAAAGCTCCTCCGGGACCTTCACAAGACGCACTGACTTCAGTCAGGACCTCAGTCATGCATTCTTGAGTCCGCTCTTGAATCGCATCCCTCCGGGGTTGCTGCCTTGGCGCAGCGTGCCTTGGCAATGGAGGCTCCTCCGGGACCCTCTCGAGGCGCACTGCACTCAGCCATGACCTCAGTCATGCATTCTTGAGTCCGCTCTTGAATTGCAGCCCTCCGGGGTTGCCGCCTTGGCACAGCGTGCCTCCTCCGGGACCTCCACGAGGCGCCATGCCTTCAGTCATGACCGCAGTCATGCATTCTTGGCAATTGAGGCTCCTCCGGGACCTCCACAAGGCGCAATGCCTTCAGTCATGACCGCAGTCATGCATTCTTGAGTCCGCTCTTGAATCGCATCCCTCCGGGGTTGCTGCCTTGGCGCAGCGTGCCTTGGCAATGGAGGCTCCTCCGGGACCCTCTCGAGGCGCACTGCACTCAGCCATGACCTCAGTCATGCATTCTTGAGTCCGCTCTTGAATTGCAGCCCTCCGGGGTTGCCGCCTTGGCACAGCGTGCCTCCTCCGGGACCTCCACGAGGCGCCATGCCTTCAGTCATGACCGCAGTCATGCATTCTTGGCAATTGAGGCTCCTCCGGGACCTCCACAAGGCGCAATGCCTTCAGTCATGACCGCAGTCATGCATTCTTGAGTCCGCTCTTGAATCGCAGCCCTCCGGGGTTGCTGCCTGGGCACAGCGTGCCTCGGCAAACGCTTTGGCGAAAATGAGCAGTCCCAGAACGGAAAATGCTCATAAGCATGTAAATGCAATGTCGTGCGACATTTGCCCTGCCAGGTACAACCCCACTCTGAAGGGGGGGTGATGAGGCCGGTGGCCCAGCTGGCTTGCTTATACCGGGGTTGCCTGAAACACTGAAGGGGGGGTTAACGCACCTCCTGCTCCAGGCGCATCCGTGCCCTGGAAGCAGTGCTATTGGGTGGCCTGGTTTGGGTTCAAGATAGGAGCAGTGCAACATGCCTTAACTTTCTTGTTTGTTGAGCACTTCACGCATGGCGATCACTCAGGCAACGCAATCCGCTTTGCGGCCGTGGCAAACGCGCCTGGGGCCTTAAAACTTTTGGTGCCGGAACTTGTGGAGAGTCCGCTTGGGCTGGCCAACGTTGCACCGCTGCCTGGTGGAACTCCCTTGGTTTTTAAAACAGCAGTTGCGGCAAATACGCTTGGCTCAGTGGCTTCAGGGTGGGCGAAAAGTGTGCTTTCTTCACTTTGTTCCTGTCGGCTCGGAAGGGTGGCGTCTCCGCAGAAGACACATTATAGCTTTGCATTTTTTTTTAAAAATAAATTTAGACTGAGCACCACAAGAATGTTGCTTTGTTTTTTTACATTTATGGGTTTGGAGCTTCAGCAGCATGGGTGGCAGTTGTTGGTAGCTATTAAGGAACGGGATGCAGCTGCTGCACTTGTTTTGTGACATGACATGGCGTTCTTTTTTTGGCTCCTTTGTAACTTCAGTGATCGTCTTACTGTCCATTTATCTTGATTGAGCTTATAAGATTGCTTCAGCAATCTGTGTTACAATGTTATGGCGACGATTGCTGGCTGAGACATCTGTTTCCCAGTTGGTTGCTTTTTTTTGTGTGGCAGTGGAGACTCTTGTCTCCCTGTTGCAAGCATTGCTTTAGGCAATTTGCATCATTTGTTCTTTGGTTCAGACTTCTGTTTCAGTTTCGATTGATTGCCTTTCTCTGTGCTAAGCGTGGACTGTGTGGTGTGTTTTGTGTTGTTTCGCTGCTTCTGTTTCGTGTTCTGTTGCTTTGTGGTGCTTGCGTTTTCTTCTTTGATATTCTTGGCATGTCATTTACGAGCTGTTTCTGCGCTGTAACAGCGGACCCGCGTGATCGCATCGGCAGCATGAATCGAGAAAAACAAAAAACACCAACAACCTCGTAGTTTGTTGAAGCAAGGATTAATTTGCTGTTGCTTCGGCTCCATGTCCTTTTGAAGAACAAATTATTTCTCATTTTTGTTGCTTGTTTCAAAGTTCGATGTTTCCTTCTTAGGGAAAGACACGTCCTGATTGTGTGTGATTGCGATTGGCTGCATGCTTCGCAGGCAATTAAACAATGGTGGAAGTGGTCTTCCCATGTTCCATGACAAAGGCTGTGCCAACAACAAATTCGATTGGCCACTGCAAGGCCCCAATGTGTTGTTGATTTGGTTGAGTCACGACGATGCCATGTTGCAAAATGCATTTCAGCAACTTAACTTGAATTGAGCGCCTATTTTTGACACGTCATTAGTTTTGAAAGGTCGCACTTCCTGTGAACAAGGTGGCCCGTTTTGGGAATGAGAGCTAAACACTTTGAGTTTCTGTTTTTGTGTGCCAGCAGCGGCCCAACTTCAGTTTGATTTGCAACCCGTCCAAAAGGCGCCCACTTTGGTGCATGGGTTGCCCTAAGTTCTGCTTTGCTCAAAATCAAGTAGACAATTCAGTCACAGGCTGGATCCTGATGGATCCTGATCACAGGCCAGAACAGTTTGCACCACCAGCTCAAGAGTCCCTGCTTCGCTTGGCGGAGTATGTTCGCAGGTTCATGTTGGATGTCTGAATTCCTGGTTGCGCGGCCATTGGCTCAGCATTTTCTGCTGGCTACGGACGTAGCCGGCCGCATGTCCCGTGCGCCAGCTCCATGCAGGCGAGCCTGCACTTGGGGCAACTGCCAGGCTTTGGCGAAGCTCGAGTCAGTAAATGGGGGATTGAATGAGCTGTGGCTGACACTTGGCTGAGGGTCTCTCAAACTCATGTAACGAACGTCCATGGAGTGGCATCGTACAGGTCACAATATGCCGGTGAACTCTGTCATGGAAGATTCAAGTTTGTCCACCATTTCTGTGTGCCCTTTCGTGCAATGGACTGTCACGCTACTGTGCAGGCAGTTCCCAAAGGGAACCTCAAAAAAGTGTCTCAGAAGAGTTCTTTTAATCTTTGAACGATGCACTGCTTTTTGAAGCGCCTTCTGTTTGCAACGCTTGTGTTTCACGATGCTCATGGATCGTGTGGCAAGGCTGTTCAGGACGGATGATGCACAATGCTGCAAACAACATGTGTGATCCCTGCAATTCTCAGACCACGCCTGTGAATTCTTTGGATGATCTTCCATTGTGTTCGTGAAGGATTTGCATTGGTCAATAATTTGTATCATTTGCATGGCGACGGCAAGGGAGGTTCAACTTTGGAAGGTACTGTTGATTCCCTACTCCTAGCTGCTCCTTTGAAATTGAGTATAGACACCCACAAGAGGTCTCGGCCTCACAACAAAACCTTGATTTCAAGGGCAGTTTTCGGGGTTTCATGAACCTGCCGGAGGGGAAGGATGGGATGAAAGTCTTGTTGACACCCTTGGCCCTTTGTTTGAGAATCTTACAAGGCCGCATTGGACATTACACGATCGGGCACTAGCTTTGTCATACCGAGCTGCGCCGAGCTCTTGCAATGAAGCCACGAGAGACGGCGAGAGCCACGACTTTGACAGCTGAGGACTCGATCCGGGCAGTTGCTAAAACAGCTGCCACACCTGCAGAGAGGTACAGGCAAAAGGGCACGGGAGCTGGTCCAGGGGCTTCAAGGGACACCATTTCATATTCTTTGGTGTTTTTTGTGGAAACTCGCAAGCCTAGGGCCCCAAGGGCCATTTGTCCTCCGCCATGCCATGGCTCTGCGCTTCCGCCCGCCTGGCCGGGCCGAGCCACAGAACGCGCAACCCGTCTGGTATTCGGGGACGTGGGACTGGGTTTGTCGCACTCACTGCTCTTCCGCATTTATGCTGCATGTTCCTGGCCACAAGGGGCACGCCTTACCTTCCAAACCAAGAAACACCCTGGCAACCTTTGGCATTTGAAGGCTCAGCCATATTCCATCGCACCTGCGCAGAAAGCAAACCATTTCGCTTGTGACAACGACTCAGGCATGCGGCTGAGTTGACGTGGAACTCTCCAAAACTGGACAAGTGATGCTTGACTAGGGAAGGAGCCGGCCCTTCCCTAGAATGCTCGTTTCGCAAGTCGGGCGTGGTCTCTAGTGTACGTTGCGAGTTATTTGCTTGCAATGGATTGCCCAAGTCAGGATTGACAGTTTCGGTGACATTCATTGGTTTTTCATATCCGACCGTTTGGCACTCTTTGTATATTTTGAGGTGCTGAATGCGGTGTGTGCCAGTAGAAGAAACTGTGCTAACAGGGTTGTGACCTGGCTGATTGCTCGGTGACACAGTTGGTTTTGCGTCGTGCCACGCTGTTGCCCCAATCTCATGCCAAAAGCCGAGGCTGCATGAGACCCTGCAAGACATGCCATGGTCCAACTCCAGTATTGCCCCTCGGTCTGCAGAGCCCAGTGGATGGCCAGCGATCTGTCGCGAGGCGATGATTGAGTTTAGGGCTTCCTGTTAAAGATGCCGAGCTTTCCAATCCCAGAGAATAAATGCAAAACGATGCAAACGCCACAGAAATACTCATGATGTAAATTAGTGCACCTCAGGGCAACACCGGACGACATGTGCCATGCCGCCGAGGACACGTACCTTCGGAGCCGTGGCTTCGACAGAGAACTCCATGAAGGCCGTGGAATTTACAGCCGGATGCCGGAGCTCGATTTTGTGCATCTGCCTCATTCAAGCCAAATGCTTGGCTTGATCACGGCATTTCTTCGATTTTGCCACTCTTGGTTGCGCCCGGAGTTGAGTTTGTCATGGAGTTGTGGAGTGTTTCGGCTTTTGATCTAGGCCATAGCGGAGGTTCCAGTCGCATGCGGGTTCAATATTTGCGATTCGAGGGTGTTTTGGAGGCCGCTGGCCGCAGCTTGAGATTGTGGTGCACCACCACGAGGAGGAGTTTGGTCATACATGGCAGCTTGGATGCAGAGGTTGCCGAGTGAATGGGGATGCCCTCCCACGAACAACAGGAGAACAAAAGCCCTTGGCGAAAGGCTAGAAAGCTTTCTTGCCGTTTGTGCACTGTCATGCTTGTTACAGGGTTATTTTTCTGGGATGGTTGGCTGTGCAAGTCGCAATGATCTCAGTTGGTAGTAGGAGGCAGCCTGTTTTCTTTCCAGAGAGGCATGAACGGAGCACCTCAATCGAAATGATTGGTCTAGGATATCAGCCAGCGCCCACTCGCAGAACCTTGGTTTCCGGAATCTTGACGACCAAGATCTTTGGTAGACTTTCTTTCGACACCACTTTTTTTTCTTCTTTTTTTCCTCAGCCTTGTTCATTGACGCAGAATGCAAGCAAGCATTCCCACATCAAAGAAAAGGAGTATTTTTACTGAGCATGACCCCGCCTTTTGAATGGCTATCTCACCAAGCCTCCTGCAACCATTCTGGGGCTCTTGAGGTCAAGCTTGAAGTGAGGTTGATGAAGTGCTCATCATACTTGAACCAATCGGGTCAGGTACAGGTTGGACTGTGCCATCAGCTTCCCAGGCGGGCCAAGCGGATCGGTGGGATCGCTGATGCCGAGATAGGGCTTTAAACATCAGATGCTCCTTCAGCTAGACGCTTTTACAGCTGAGCTGAATGCTGGAAGTAAGCAGTTTTGATCTGGTTTCCCTTTCGAATCATCCAGGGGTTGCCAAGACAGGCGCTGAGCGGTATGTGTGGCATACCAGCAAGCGGCTCGTGCACTTCCGGGAGCGCCTGCATGACCGTGTCAAGGAGGAGCTGAGTCACTTGGATTGCGTTGCAATACGTTACATTACATTAGATTACAATGCATGCATACGCACATCATGCATTGCAGGCATGCATTACCATAGATTACATTACATTGCGTTGCATTGCATTACATTACACTACATCACATTAAATTACATTACAGTGCAGTACGTTACACTACATCACATTACATTACATTACAGTGCAGTACATTACACTACATCACATTACATTACATTACAGTGCAGTACGTTACACTACATCACATGACATTACATTACAGTGCAGTACATTACACTACATCACATTACATTACATTACAGTGCAGTGCAGTATACTACATCACATTGCATTACATTACAGTGCATTACATTACAGTGCAGTGCATTACAGTGCATTACATTACATTACAATACAGTACAATACAATACATTAGATTACAAGACAGTACAATACAATACATTACATTTACATACATACAACCATACAACCATACAACC